GAAGACGGTGGTGATGCATCAACCGCCACCCAACTCAGTCACAGCCCCCAACGCGCCGCAAATCAACGTGAATGGGACTCAACTGCAAGTGGTAGACAACTTCCCGTACCTGGGCAGTACCCTCTCACGCAACACCAAGATTGATGACGAAGTCGCCAACAGGATCTCGAAAGCCAGTCAAGCCTTCGGTCGCCTCCAAAGCACAGTTTGGAATCGCCACGGTCTCCAACTGAGCACGAAGCTGAAGATGTACAAGGCCGTCATCCTGCCGACGCTACTGTATGGAGAGGAGACTTGGACGGTGTACACGAGGCAGGCACGCCGACTGAACCATTTCCATCTCAGTTGTCTTCGTTGCATCCTGAGGCTGAACTGGCAGGATCGAATCCCCGACACGGAAGTACTGGAACGAACGGGGATCCTCAGCATCTACGCCATACTGAGCCAAATGCAGCTGCGCTGGAGCGGCCGCCTGGTGCGCATGGACGACGAGCGACTACCCAAACGACTCTTCTACGGAGACGTCGCGACGGGTTCTCGTCGTCAAGGAGGCCAAATTCGCCGTTACAAGGATACCTTGAAGTCCTCCCTGAAGCGCCTGCAAATCAACCCGACCAACTGGGAAGAGCTCGCCCGCGATCGTCCGACATGGAGGAGAACAGTGAAGACGGGCGCTGCTATCTACGAAACCAACCGCATCGCTGCCGCCAAAGCGAAACGCGAAGCCCGCGAATCACAATCTCGCCCAGTACGCAACTCCGCCGCACAACCGCTCCCTACGTGTCCTCGATGTCAACGGACATTCCGGGCACGAATCGGACTTGTTGGACATCTTCGGATCAACTGCACCTCTCGAACTGCTCCAGCCATCGTCCCCCCGCCCGCCTCTTCCTCGTCCTCTCTGCCGCCAACTAACTCTGACACTCCTTCTGAACCACCACTTCCATCCGCCTCCTCCTCGTCGTCCTCCTCCTCCTCCTCCCTCTCCACTGCCCCAGCGGCGGCCGTTCAGACTGCCGTCTCACACATCACCAACCCCAACACAACAACCGCCACCACCCGCACCTCTCCCGATCCCAGTGATGAGGATCAGGACTGCACCTGCCCTCACTGCGACCGCACCTTCACCTCTCGCATCGGCCTGGTCGGTCACTTGCGAATCCATCGCACAGAGACTGGCGAACCAGTGCCTGGAGCACCAACCCACACCCACCGCACTTGCCTCCACTGCCCACAATGCCCTCGCACCTTCACTCATCGCATGGGTCTATTCGGCCACATGCGCATCCACGAGAGCGGAATTGACCTCAGCCTTGACACACCCACCCCGCCGAGCCCCACTCCCAATGCACCACCTTGTGCACCCACTAACCACTCCCCAGCCGACATCGACGCCACCTACCTTACCACACCTCACTCCTCCCCCTCCTACTCCTCTTCTTCACTGCCACAACGACGGCCGCTTCGGCGTCTGTCGCCCACGACTTCACCACAGCCGAACCTGGCACAACAACAGGCACAAGCCCTGCAACCTCCATCATCAGACGTGAGGGCCAGGGCTACATCTGCCCTCACTGCGATCGCACCTCCATTTCACGCATCGGCCTGGTCGGTCACTTGCGAATCCATCGCACAGAGACCGGCGAACCAGTGCCTGGAGCACCAACCTACACCCACCGCACCCGCCTCCACTGCCCACCCTGCCCTCGCACCTTCACGCATCGCATGGGTCTATTCGGTCACATGCGCATCCACGAGAGCGGAATTGACCACAATTCCGATACAGCCACGACATCCAACACATCCACCACGCCGTTCAACCCCGGTTGTGTGAAATCCTGGTGTTTGTGTGTGTATGGGGGGCCAGGTCGTGCTGTGGCGCGCGCAGGCATGGTCAGTCGACCATGTCAGCCACCGCGCCCATTCCCCACTCCAGTCTACTGACCGGCTCGGACAGTGGCTGGGGTGTGGGAATGGGAAGGGAGAGTGAGGTCGACGACTCAGCGCATTTCCTCACTATAATCAATCTGACGCGCTTGAAGCTATCACGGTGCGCTAAAAGCCGTGGCTTGGAAGGTTGCCAACTGACGGGGTACCTTGGACCTCCTCTTTCACGGGAGGCGGACTGAGAGTCAGGCTGCAATGGCTCCTTTTTAATGTGGCCTTTATGGCACTCTCACCACAGTGTGGGATCCGAGCCAGGCGTTGGCGGCACGCCCAGGTGCGGCTTCGGCCGTGCCAGCCTCCAAATCTCTGTTGTGTTGGTTGAAATCCTGGTTATTGTTGTGTGGACCAGGGGGTGTGGTGGAACGCCAAGGTGAGGATCCGTCCGAGCCATCCACCTGCGGCCTCCCTCGTCTCCGGTCTTCTTGACTCTGTCTTGACCCCGGGCTCGGGCGAGGGAGGAGGAGAGAGTGCAGGTAGATGCTACGCAAGTCTACTGGCACTATAAGCACCTGCGTAAGTCACCGTCCCTGCTCCCACCTTGCAGTCTGTGGGGCATACGGTGGACATCATCGAACTCGATGGTCGAACTGTCGTTTTGGCGGAAGACCGCGCAAAGTGGGCGTGTTAGCTTGAGTGAAATAATCAGTGGATCCCTTCTGTTTTCTCTGTCTCTGCGGAACAGTTGAAATCCAGGGAGCATGAGCTCCCTATCATCACCTGTTAGGACAACCATGTTTCAGTTATTCAGATAGCGTCTGGTTGGCGATCGTAGATATGGATACGGAGTTAATCCAGTTTTGAAAGTACACTCTGCGCGTTAGTATACACGAATATGAGTTTCGATTTCATGCGAGCTTTGCTTACAACCCCGACACAGGCTACTGGGGTATCTGTGCAGTCATTCGGATCGGCGTGATCCAGAGGGGAGCAAACTGTCATTTTACTATCCGGCATTTGTAGACTGTCAGGTTTATTTCTCCGTTGCCTTGCTGTGTTCTCAATTCGAGGACAAGTTCGCGGTGTTGCATTCTCTTGCAAGATTAACCAGCGGATAGTCACAAGTATACAAGCTTCGAATGATTTATCGTATTGGCAGCAGAGGTATTGGCTCGAAACTCAGATACCTATTTTGCCAACATTCTGCACTTCCACGACGCAGCTACAAGGGGTTCGGCTCGGCCGCGGATCTCCCAACGTTTCTCGCATGCTGGCTGGAATACGCCCCAGTCTTGAGATGGCAGCTTTTTAATTTTGTCGGAAATTGGCGCATTAACTTAGAGTAAGTCATTCAGGATGAAGGTTTGCAGGGCCGACTGCGAAAGGAGATATGATTAGTTGAGGAGCAATCCATCAGCCGAATCCAGATAAGTGCGTAATCTTCACAGAACTGCCAAAGGGTAGTCAGTAGCAGACGATATCGCGTGAGTTACAATGGTGACAGCACGGGTACTGACTGAAAACTCTGACAAATACAGTGGGTGACTGATCTCAGGAAATGTTGACCGAAATTCTGAAATGCGTTTTCAATTAGGGAGGATTACTTAGGTGGGGTCGTAATAATGATAAGTATGCAGCATAAGCCTAGAGCATTTCGGACTTATCAGGGTGTTGTCTTCTGGATGCACTCCTTTATGACCTTCTGTAGACACCGCACTTTGTAAAAAATGACTACTTAAGTAGCATGCACTTTTTCTATTGATTTTCGATGGTCTTGTAAATCCAAATATATCTTACAGAACGCATGCACAAAAATAAGCTTTCTTTTACTCCTTTGGTAGAAAATCACATTGTCTTGATATTTTATACCCGAAGAAGGTGTATCTTTGGGTTTTTAAAAAGTTTCTGATTATGAGATTTTCAACACCGTGCGATGCCCATGCATACAGGACCGCACATGTCCATTTACTAATGCTCCTAATGAAATTCAAAACACAGTCCGGATGCATTGCGAAATTTAAGGGGTTCTATGTGGTACCTTCTTAAAGGCATAGAGGAATATATGATTTTCCTTACGCGGAAAGCATGCACCTTGTAGACTGAAATCGCCAAACGCTAATCCAATGGCAAAATTATTCGGGAATTGGAAAACTTCTCTTAAAACCCAAATATGCACTTTCTTCGGGTATAAAATGTGAAGACAATGTAATTTTTTAACCAAACGAGTAAAAGGAAGCATACTTTTGTATATGTTTCCTGTAAATATATTTGAATCTATATGACCATTAAAAATCAATACGAAAAATTCATGCCAATTAAGTAGCCACATTTTACGGAGTGTGGTTTCTGGAGGTGTTCAAAAAGAAGCCGATATCCTGACGAGTCCGAAATATGGTAGCATTAGGCCGCGAGATAATCAATATTACAACCCCATCTAAGTAATCCTTCCTAATCGGAAACGCATTTCAATATTTCCGTCAAAATTTCATGAGATCGGTCACCCACTGTACCAGTTAGCCATAAGTGGCCATTCCAGACGCCCCAGTTCTTGTCGGCAATCTCCTTCTGCGCATACTACTTACCGCTGCGCGGCTTCTTGCGAGAGTTTTAGCTTGATTCCCAAGGCACAACAAGAAGAGCGCGTTCCGTAAACTGATCAGTGAATACCTCGTTAACATAGTAAATATACCCGACCACGAATGACAGGACAACGCACCCCCGGCTTCTACTAACGCTCAGAAACTGAAAGAGGCCGGGTTTGAACCTAAGGTGCCCCCCGCTGACTGAAGGCGGCAAATAAACCAAAAATGACCATCCCGGTCTGCCCTGTTTTTGCCGATGCTAGCATACCTATCTACACTGCCAGACGTTATGTGTGTTGGCCTTCGAGGGCTCTAAACTGCATCCCAAGGCACAACGGGACGAGTACGTTCCGTAAACTGGTCGGTGAGCGTTCCTCTACCATATGCATATGCAGTTTATGACCTAACTAATTAAACTTTACGAAGGGAACTAACGTGGTAACTTCTAGGCACCTAAAACTCCACGCATTTTTCTCTGTTGCCCAGCCTCCTCTGGCTGCAAACCATGTTTATAAGTCGTTTTATCCAGTGAAAATGTTTATAAATCTGAGTAGACATCAATTTTTTATGTTAGTAACTGTTCTGCACATAGCTTGCGCATATGAGTTTGTTCTTCTTTCAGAGAAGATTAATCTAGCCTCGAAAGTCTTACCAAGCTAAAGCTGTCGCAACTGTAAACTGGTTTACGATGGGACTTTAACCGTGATAAGTAAATAGCGAACAAACAGAGTGTTTTTAGGATACCAGATGTTTTATCGATTATTGAAAGTCAACTTCGTAAATCTGTATGACTTCGTGTCCTAAGATGCGATAATAACGCCTACGGGAAATCTTTTGTTTAAACTTTTCGATATTGTCTTTCAATTCGCGAATGACGTTTGAGCGGCCGTAAAAATAACTATCATCAAATAATCATTGTACGTTTTAAACATATAGAAGGATGCTCTTTGTGGTATCATATTCCTGTTTACATGTTATTTAAAAACAGAGCAGATATAACATTAACAGTTTGTACAATGTGTTAGTATTTAAATGGCTACTATTCTATATATCCATAACCATAGAAAGAAAAAGTCTTCAAAAAGACAAAGATAGGGGAAATGCCTGCAACATAACGTGACAAGCAAGTTCGTCCGTTTGCGACAGTTAAGTTCTCATTATCTTCCAAGGGAGTAAAAAACGACCAAAAGCGTTCATTTTTCTCGTCTATGCCGGGTACGAAGCTAAAGTACGTGGGCATTCGCCAACATAATACAATATTTAAGCACTTTTAAATCAGGTGACCTATAAGAGGATGTTTTTTAATATGATAACAGACATATTTACTGCCGAAGTTTCTTTGAACGTTCGTTATTTTCTGTAAAGAGGTTTCGTGTATGGAGGGAGTCTCAAAATGGCCATTTGCATGACAACGAATGCCCGAGCACTGGCTACCTAGCCAAATATTCCGAAAAAGTGTGGCGCTTTTAAAAGTTCAGCAAACATCTAGTACATCACTGGCAGTAAAAACTCGATTCCCAGGTGGTATATCAAAAGGAGAGGAGGCGTTTACCGGGAAAACGCTTCCGCTTCCTTTGAAATACATAGTAGAGAATCTCTCCTTATGGGGAATCGATTTAAAACACCGAAAGTCTTAAAGTGTTCGCTGACATCTCAAGGACATTTTGAAACTCAGCAGACTCCAACGGTAGCGAAAGGCCGACATAAATTTAGCAAAAGAAAGGTCCTCTTTAAATACACTTAATGAAAGTAGGACAAGGGAGACTGCAATGGCCATTTCCGGCTTACTAACCGTCAGCTGTCAGTCAAACACAAACTTAGATGGGGATCGTTGTGTTGGACATGATTGGCTGATGGGGGCTAATTAACCATACCGGTCTCCCTTGCCTTTATTGGTATCCCATTGTTATCATATACAGTTGGTGATCTAATTCATTAAGATGTTGAAATATCTGAGCGATTGCCAATCAATCGCCCTACCACGATTTTAAATGCACTACTGATTGACCATTTAAATGCTGAAACTGCTAATGTTTTGCTCATTTCACTCCTAAATTACGTAGGTGCAGAAGCTAGACCGCACAAAAAAACTAATGTTCTATGTGTTCAAAACTGGAATTTAACATTATGTGGTAGTCATTTCTGTGACAACAAGTAGACATTCCAAACGACAAAACAGTTCCAGCCTGTTTAGACGAAGGATTGCCTGTGTGCGTTATCACTGCACTTTAGGACACGAATTCGAACAGATCTGCATATCTGATTCCCAAAAATCGATAAAACGTCTGATTCTCCAGTGAATAATTTGTGCGTTAACAAAGTGATCACTACGGTAAGCATCGGACAAAAAATCAATTTTTGAGTGCAT